AGCCTTATCTGTACGTCTTTGTCTTCTGGGTTCTGCGGTTCGTCAAGTCCCTCATATAATTTCCAGGCAATTTCTCATACCCATAATTGCATAATTTCAAAGTTGTTGGCAACTTAATTGCGGGCAACGCGACCAAACCCTGGCAGCTGCCTACCAACTGGCTACCAATACGTATGGTTGCCCAATCCGGCTACCCAGCCCCCGTTTCTTTTCGCCTGTCTTCGGTGTAAATAAAACCTTTTTAAACGGTTGTCATGTGGCAGCCGCATCCAACAGCATCAGCAGCAGCAGTACCCACGACTACCGGACACTCTGGGCTGCGTCTCAAACTGGTATTGGCGGAGTTAGCAAGAGTTGGCTAACTGCCTGATGCCATGATGGGTCGCTTCTCTCTCAAGATGCTGACTTCAAAGCGCGCACATCATCAAACATATGTTGTATGCTGCTCTCTGCCGGCCCGCCATACAACAGGGCCCGCAACGCCAACGCCTGACAGATGATTACAAAATCTCCATTGGTCCGAGGCATGCGCCTTCGCCCCGCGGCCATTTACCATCAAAGTTAATATGCTTTATATTAAATTTGTTGTCTGTTGTTGTACTTATTGCTACTTTTGTTGTTGTTGTTGTTATTGTCGTTGCCTAGCAGCAATGGCCGTACAATCTGCATCTGCCACAATTTCCACGCTCCGGCCTTGCCGCTTGGGGGTTTGCCTCATTTGTCCCAGCGTAAAATTGTTTGGGATGCGTTTTTCTGCGTTTCTCATCAAATTACTCAATTAATTTCAGTTAAATTAAAAACACGGCCCAGACAAGAAAACAGAATCGTTGCCGGCCAGATTGTGATGTGTGTAATTCGAGCCTATAAAGCGGCGCGACAGGAAACATTTGCCAGGACTGCGAAACACGCAGCCAGACAGACAAACAGCCAGACGGACAATGGAAGGTGGTTACCCCAACTGGCAAATAGTCGTTAATTTGGCATTTGCATTTAAATGCTGGACAATAACAATTTAACCTTAATTGAGATAAAGTGTTTAAGTGCGTTACAGCAAGCCAAGGAAGCATTTTTAAAAGAAAAAAACACACACACAGAGAACGCAATTAGTTTACAAAATAAACTAAAAGAAATGCTTAGATAAATTCCAAAAAGGAAAGAGTAAGGATATTTACGGCACGGCGAAGATTTAATACCCTAGTGACATTTTCCTAACGGTCTTTCAGATATGTTAGAAGAGTGAAGCTTATCTTGGAAAACAGAATACAATGCCATTAAACGCTCAGTTTTTTATCGATTCTAAACAGCAGAGCTAATCTTCTATACCGGGCTTGATCAAGAAATCTTGATAAACAAAAACTGTTCAAATAAAAACCTTCGTATGTCAGCTATATTATAAAATGGTCTGATGTTCATAAGATTTTGCAAATATATATATGGAGCAAAGTGAAACTCTTGAAAGCCGAGTTTGGTTAAGATATCATGATGACTATTTATGCTGATCTAGAATATACTTAATGAGATCGAAGATGTCTCCCTTTATGCATTGCACAATTCATGACGACGGGATTATACCCTGTACTGAGGTGTATAAAACAGTGCTCTAGTCGAGAGTGCCTTGGCAGTAGATATTCTAAGCCGAGCCGCTGTTGGAACCATTTGCACTTCTTCTTCACTCAGCGCCTCACAACAGAATATGCTTTTCTCGAAAATAATCTGTATTTATGGTCCTTTATATAACATTAATATCTTAAATATGGGATTATAAATAACTATATCTTTATCTCTCCTTTCGAACTTGGGGTAGGTAAACAAAAAATGATATATTCACGACCCTCACCATTTTTTTTTTTTAGTAGAAGTCGTTTGATTTTATTAACACATATTCTGGTAACAATGCTAAAGGAATCCAGTTCAGTCCAGTGAAAGCTCTCTTCTTTAATGCAGGGAAAAACAAATACTGACTTTCCATTAAAGAAATTGTCATATCTAAACGAATTGTAAAAGACTGAGACGCTTAAGAATGCAGCTAAGTCTAAAGAACATTTGAGACAGGCACATCGGTTTGGCTTTGACCAAGTTATGCTACGTGACAATCTAATAAGAACATATGCTTTGGAATTAGTAACTTTCATCTGAGAATACATAAGCTAGAAGGCATTGCCAACCTGATTAATGGCCATGTTGCTTGCAAATGAGCCAAGCAAATCAAAACACGAGCAATGCAGCAGCCGGCATTTCCCCGAGGGGTTTTAGTCCAGGCCAAAACCAGACTGCGCTCTGTCGGACAGGCCAAGGCAAATGCATTTGGCACGCAATTATGGCCCAAAGTGTTAATTGCATTTCCGCCGCTGCCAGAGTCAGCTATCAAAACTGCGGCACGGCCCACAGCTCACGCATTTGGCATTAAGCGCGAGCAATTGCGGCCCAGTCCAGTCCAGGTCGGTCCAGAAGCCGCGCCAGAAGTAAAAGCAGCCAACCAGGCGGCTAACATATTCAGAGATAAGGAACGTGCAAAGTTAACGGAGCTTTTCGGTGCTGTTGCAACTATTTCAGCTGCTGCCTCCCCGGGAGACGTTGTTAAAGATGGCGCATGCGTGGCAGACACGCAGCGGGCAGCCGCAGCAGCAGCAGCAGCAGCGAGCAGCCAGATGAAGCGAAACTAAGTCAAATATTTGTAGAACAGAGCAGCAGACAGGCAGCTCCCCGGGCTAACTGCAAATGTGAAATTTATGGGCCCCAAAAGGCGCGTGGACGTCTCAGTTCTAACATGAAACGTAGAGCGCAAAGCTGCCACATGCGCGAATTTTAAATACCCTGACTAAGCAAAAGTTTGGGTTGAAGAATAACATGAGAGAGTAAGGATATCTGCGAAGCCCTTAAAGACATTTGTCTTTTTACAGATATGTCAGAATTTGGGAAAATATCTTTTCACCGATTGTTCCTAGAGAAGCTATATAATATATGGTGTCCGAGCTAGCCGTCCTTCCTTCCGACCTATGCGCTGCCTGCCATAGAAAGGCTGACCTAAGCAAAGTTTCAAGAAGAGAGACTTGTTCTCATGTAAATACATGTCTATATATGCTAGAATATATATATTTGATGGGCTCGGAGATGTCTCCTTCTAAGAGTAATACATCTCATGGCATTAATTAAACCCTCTACAAGGGTATTAAAAACATGTGGGTTTAAATTATTTTGCTATGTTCCACACGATGTCACAGACGTGGTTTCATAGCTGTTATACCCTTTCGCTGGTTATGCAAATTTGATACAAGTGCATGCAAACGAAAAGCAACGATTTCTTTTTGGCCAGCCGCATATTCATAAAGTGCTTTTTAATGGCAGCTCGAGGTCTCAGCCCCACTCTTAGCCCCAGTTTTAGCCCCACTCTCAGCCTGTGGCCAAGTCCAAATCCTAGCTGCAACGTCTATCGCAATGAGAATGAATGCTGACAGGCGGCCAACCAGGAGGCGTCTGTCATTTATCGAAGTCTTTGCATGTCTCTGCATGCGGCTACATTTGATAAGCAGGCAAAAAAGAAAAAAGCAGGAAGGCAAAAACAGTATTCCCATTCAAGCGGAGCAGCTGGCTGGTCCATAGCTCAACTCCCAATTGGCATTGGCATTGGCATTGCCGCTTACTTGGCCTGACTTGTGCGCTGTGCGTTCTGGGCTTTCCGTTAATAAGCCATTTTGACAAATTGGATGATTGCCGTCTGCCAGGGATTGCGAGCAATGTGTGGAAAGTGTGACGATTGCCAATTGATCTAAAGAATAATGAGCAGCATTTCAATCTGCGTTTGTTACCCAAAATCTTATTTGTGTAGCGTAAACTGGAGCACAAAAGTATCTTTAAGATGCAAAGCCAAAACAAGTGCAAAGTGTTATCAAGCTTGCTTGTCAAACTCAACAGCACTTAATCAAATTTTCGAGGCATACCATTTTATATGCAGATAAACACATGCGAATCTATTAATGTAGAAAGATGCCGACTATGAGATACTCTTTCCTTGTAGATAGAATAACAACCTTTAACATTTGAAACAAGTAAGGGGTTCTAGTCGGGAGAGCCCAACTAGGGGATACCCTGAACCCTCTTCTTTCAACATCAAATGCATATATATATTGTATTTAAGAAGCTATATGTCAAGTTTGGTGACTCTAGCTCTTATTATTTACCAAAATTGCCCAAAAAACAGGATATCGATATCGATTTTTATCGATTGCTTGGAAACGGAGTAAGTTATCGATTATCGGAAACAAACAAACGATCTGCGCGGGAACTGGGAGCACATACATCTAAATTTTCAAGTCTCTAGCTCTTTTAGGTTCTGAGATCCTTGCGTTCATACATACGGACGGACGGACGGACGGACAGACTGACGGACATGGCCAGATCGACTCGGATATTGATGCTGATACTTTACTGGGGTCGGAGATGCTTCCATCTGCCTGTTACATACATTTGGATTTCGCACAAATACAATATACCCTTATACCCATTTTTAAAAGGTAGGAATCTTTTTAAGGAACCATAAACAGCATAACTTAGCCGTCAAATGGACGAATTTTGATTGCTCTATCTAAATTGAGTCCAATTGATAGAAGAATATGTTTGAATTTAGATTATATATCTATATAAGATATCTAAATATATCAAGTAAAAGTAGAATACGTTTGAGCGAAATACAAAATAGCATAATAGATGCTATATCTAAATTGACTGCAAGTTATAGCACAATAAATTTGCGTGGAAAATAAATTTATCTTAATAGATCTACTTAAACTGACTTTCAGTCATAGTATATTAAGTTTGAGCGATGTCACAAACTGTCCGTTAAGTTATTATACCCAATAGAAAATATACAAATAGTGACAATTTCTTTTTAGCCTAAAAACTGAAAGTTTCAGGCCTAGTCTCGCAGAAAATAGCCAAGAGTAGTCAGACAAGAATATAAATATACTCTAACTTAGCTTATTAATCAACCGAATATATATTTAATTAATTATATAGTTAGTTAGGAATTGTAAAACTGCTTACAAACGTCTCTCTCTCCCTCTGTCTCTTCCTTTCGTTCCGATGCTCTCTCTACATCATATCTTGATCATAGCATTTGATTGTATTATTGCACTCGTCGTCGTGCACTTGATGGAATACTAGAAATTAAATAAAATGTATTAGGTATTTTTGATGGACTATTTAGGGACTCCCGAGTAACTCACCGTTCTTGGTATTAAAGCAGTTCCATTCGCTCAGCTCACATTGTCCTGGGAACTCGACAACGCACTTGTCATTGGTGGCGCAGACGGGCAGCGATTTTTCTGGACATTGGAAGTTGCATTTGCCCAGTTTCTGTAGCTCGCGTTGCTGCTCGAGCAGCTCAGGCACTTGTTCATCGGCTGTCAGCAAACGCGGCGTATAGTGGCTAGGCTGAGCTGTCGTGGTGGTGCTGCTGGTGGTGCTGGTGGTCGAGGTGCTGCTGCTTTGCTGCTTCTGCTTTTGCGCCTGAAGCTTCTCGTGCTCTTTGATCGACTGATTGATGGCTTGAGGTATGTGCGTCTGCGCCTGTTGCATCACATGGCTGACGTGCTGCTGTACCTTGTTGACCTTGTCGCCAATGTCCAGCGGCGCTTGGCCGGGCACTGAGACCACAATCTGCGACACCGGCGGCATCACCACTTTGTTGTAGCCCACAACAGGAGCCGCATGCTGCCATGTGGCCGTTGCCTGATGATTTATCACCTGCGGCACCTTCGGCCGTTCAACGTGTGGTGGCAGCAAATCCAAATGCGGCACTGCTGCTGCATTCGCCTGTGCATTTCCATGCCCATTTCCCTTGCCATCTGCAACCTGTGGCACGTGGCCGCTCAGCGTTGTAGGCTGCCCGTTTGGCTTCTGCGCCAACACATGATTGATGTGATTGGTTATCAGGGTTTGAACGTGAGCCGGCAGCTCGATGGGATGAGGCAACTGCTGCTCCGGCTTGTCCAGCTCCTCGGCCTGCGCCAGTGCGAGTAGGGCTACATTGAACTATGACATTTATATTCGAGTCTCTTATAATCTTTCAGAATATACTCACCAAATATGATAAAAGCTCTCATCTTGTCTCTTGGAATCCACAAAGATCAATCGATATCAACAGGCTCTACTGGCAATTAACTTTTACTTCAAGACCCTCGGCCACGTTCTGTACGGCTTTCGTTGGCAGCGGCCAGCTTTTATACGATTCCCAAACTGATCAAACATTAATTGTGTTTGTTTGACATAAGCATTTTTTTTTCTTAATGAACTTTTTATGATAATTCATTGATGAAGCTTGTTAATTCTGTACTCAGTCTCTGTACTCGGCACTCTTTAAAGGAACTGGTTTCGATCTGCCTGAACGATCAAATATATCTGTTCTTTGCATTAATCGCTTCCTTATGGAATATTATGTATACACGATATTTTAACTTGTTGTGTAAGCCCTGATTGGGGTGTGACAATAAGCTAATTATAAAATGATAGAAAAGGATTCACAACCATTTTTGGAGCACAAAATTAAAAAACTAGTATTAGATTAATTTCCACCACACAATAAAAGAGATGAGCACATATTAGAAATAAAAAGGCATACACTTAGGAGCTCTTTCCAATTTCTGAAACATATTTTTAGGCTCAGCCAAAAGTTATACTTCACTGCCCGGAAATTGCTGAAACTTAAAAAACAACACCTCACACAGCGCATTTAAAACGAATATTCATTTTAATTTAAATAACTGAATATATTAAATATTAAAAACAAATAAACTGCACGTTATTATTTGACGTACACAAAAGAAACAAATGCAAATTTCCCACGGGTACTCCGTCCGCCCCCTTTCCACACCAAAAATAAGTAAAAACAAAAGGTTTTATTTTTGGCAGGCAGACAACAAATAAATGACAGGCCCAATGCTAATCATGATGATATTTCAGTTTTGCATATTTCTCTGAGGTGTTAAAATAAAGGATTATTGCAAAAAGCAACAAAAGCAGAAAGCTGCAAATTTGCCAGTTGCCAATGTGGCAATATTCAGTTATAAAAACATTTGTGGCAGGTGCAGAAATGGCAGTTCAACAGTTGCTGCACATGCAGCAAGGTAACAACAACAACAACTACAAACAAGTCCGAATAGCCTAAAAACATGAAGCTTTCGCTGCTCTGTCTCTGTAAGTTTGACAAGCACTGACTTAGCTGCTCAAACTGTAATTGTGTCATTCTTCCGCTCTAGTTTGCTTTGCCATTGCCGCTGCCGCTGCGAGCGCCACCGTGCTGCCCGCGAAACGGAGCCAGCTACCGGCGGTCAACCAGCATGGGCAAATGGTCTGGCTGGATGAGACGATCCATCCGGTGCCCGACATGTGCGACTTCGCCTGCACCGATCACGATATCCAGGTCTGCGCCTACAATGGCCAGTGCCTGCAAATGTTCACCAGTCGCTGCACCATGGCCACCTACAACTGTCGTAATCCCTGGAATCGCTTCAACATTGTCGAGAACTACCGCTGCACCCAAGGCTATCAGCCACTCTGCAGCAAGGAGGATCGACGCGAGTTGCGCCTGACGCAGTGAGAAGAAAATGGGCTATACGGAAGTTGGCTGAATAATTAGAATGGTTATAATAATAAAAATAATGACTCATAATGATAATAATAATGAAAATTAATAATGACAATAATAATAAAAATTGTATAAATTATTAAATTAATTGTATAAAAGACAAATACAAAGACAAAAACCTTGAAGAATAAAATAATCCCTTACCCAAATTTCGACATATTAGTATAAGTTTTTATGTTTGGGCATAAAACTAAGCTTAACTTAGTAACTTAATAAATAAAAACGAAAATAAAAATAATAAATATATGTTTAGGTCATTTATACAGATATGAGCATGGTAAGGCTCGTAACTGCTGCTCCTCATTGAAGAAATATATTAAAAAGCAAGACACTTTTCCATATAAAGCCTTCATTATGACCTAGGACTTTTTCTAGGACCTATGTAATAGCATAGTTCCATGTTGTAAAAATATTTACTTGCGTTAGCAGCATACTTACGTTGTCTTAAAAACAAACAAGTGGCTTATATAATAAAACTTAACTTGTGAGCCTACTCTAATATATATACTAAAAAATTATATGTAAAGAGAATTTAATTAGAATAGCTTCATAACTGTGAGAATAGACGAACGGACATGGTTACATCCATTGATGGTGATCGAATATAAATATTATATAAATGTATTATACATATATAAATAAACAACTTAGACATACATACTAAGTGCTTTCAGAGAGATATTTACTTCTTTGCTTTATATATTTGGTGACCAAATTATAATACCCTCAGCAACAGTAAATATTTAAAGAAAATATCGGTTTATTTCTGCTGTTTGCCGGATATATATTTTCAATTGTATTTGTTATTATTCTTTATTATAAAATGTATTATTTTTATGACAGAAGTTGTATTTAGTTTCAGGCACCAACCAAGCTTACATCTTAAGATCCTCCTCCTTGCAGCGACGAGCGCACAAGCCCATGCGGCAGATATCCTCATCCACGGCACGGAAGGACAAATCGCGATGCTTACAATTGAAAGTGTCCATGATGCATTGATTGGGAAACTCATGAATGCAGATGCCGTTATGGGCGCAAATCGGATTCAGCTCAAACTTGGTGCACAGCTTATCGCAGCTCTCCACGGGAGTCGGCGGAACTGGCAACGCAACGGATGGGCCTGTGGTGCCAGCCAATAGCAGCTGATGACAGTTCTTGGATGGCATGTGTTTGGTCGACACATCTGGTGTATGCGTGGTGCTAGGTGGTGCAACGACAACTGGTTGAACTTCCGAGGTGGGGCTTTGTGTGCCAGAATTTGGATTTCCCGGTTGGGTGATACCTGGATTGGGGACACCTACATTGGGGACACCTGGCTTGGATACGCCAGGGTTGGGCAAGCCGTGGCTCTCGACTCCCGGGTTAGGTATACCATGATGTGGTACGCCAGGATTGGGTATATTATGATTGGGTACTCCAGGATTCACCGTTTCGACAATAGCTCTCATATTTCGCACCTTGGCCGGCGGCATTTTAACTGTGGGTGGCACCAGCACCTCCTCGCCTACCACCTTGCCCGGCTTCAGCTCCACCACATGCGCCACCTCCACCAGATCCTTATCCTTATCCTGGGTCATAACGGGCTTTCCATTCGACAGCAACGGCACTTGGACAGTAACCCGACCGATCTCTGTACTTGGCTTCACCTGCGCTGTGACAAATGCGGAAGACAGCAGCACTACGAGGACATGTAAGATATCAAGTGAGACTGGATACTTCCGATACATTTCGAGCTGAGTTTTCACCTGTGGCCAAAACCAAAAGGAGCACCTTTCCCATCATCTTCGACTTCGAGTTGTTTGACTTCTGTGTCCTGAACTGAATCTTGTCAAGGGCTTTTATACGATTTGAGAGAACTGCGGATGTTACCAACCCGTTTACAATTGAATCGAACAGCTGTGATGACTTAACGTAATATTTCAGAACCTGTTTTGACAAAGCTTTCCTCAACACATCCAGCAGTTATGATTATTTATATTTTTACGGGTGCGTTTCTGGCACTTCATTAATTTGAAAGAAATGCTAAGCTCATTTCTTTGAAATGTTTTATAAAATTCATTTTATTATTTTTAGTAATATTTCGTACACTTGCTTGGTGTAAATTACAATTTAAAATTCTATGCTATGGGGCACAGATATAGTATTACATATATTTAGTTAAAATATAATGGACTTTTTAGTGTTATCTACAAGCTTAGCAGATCGCATTTCGTGCCTTTTGCAACACTCACTTGCTTTCTATTATACAAATCAAGTTCTTAAAACTTTTAAAAATCATTTAAGGCATCAAATATTTTGATTAGCAAATCGTTAATTTTGATATAGATAATTGGTATTATTGGTACACATATATATTTATAAAAAGAGAGTTGACCACTTTGAGTTCCGTTTTAAGTTATCGTTGAGTTTAAGTTTACGCTATTAGGGCTCGTCCACAGCTCGAATACGATCTATGTACTTTAATCGAACTTCTTAGCGATCCCTAAAACTTTGCACATTACGTCCATTATTCAAGTTTACAAAACACATATGTATCATTAGTACGTAGTTCTGTTATATAAGTTTAGTTTTTCTTTTTTAACTATTATCATTTTTGCGTTCGACCGAAAATTTTCTTTGCCTTCTCTTAGATCGAGTTTAACTAAAACTCCAACTACATATCCTGGGGATTGTCCATACCATAAACGCAAATTTTTGATAGGTTATTCATCGATCTGGATTAGTATCTGGGCAGCTTAAGACACTTGGGAATTTGATTAACACAAAAGTGTTTAGATAATATAAGAAAAGAGAATAGACAAAGTGTTGAAGTTATAAAAAACCAATTAGGAGCAGAAAGAGAATATAAAGGAACTGTGAAGATTTTGCTACAGATATATAAAGATAACATGAAAGTAAAATGATTTTAGACGTACACAAGTTTCCCAAGCGCTTCCCAGTACTAAACTATATATAACAATGTTGAAATCATATATAAATATATATATATATAGATATCATCATAATTTTAAGGGTACTCGGACCTGTCTCTATGCCTACTCATATACACATCATATACATGGTTATAATTATTTCTTGTATATTAATAAATATTGTTGGTTTTAAAAGGTGTATAATCTTATGAACTAATAATTGTTACAGTTAATATCTTCAGGGCTCAACAACACTACAAAAACTATAAACAATTTGCTGGGTTAAACGTGTTTCCTTTTGTTTTTTTGACAATATTGGTTTAGTTTCTATTTTACAAACATGAAATTTTTTATACATAACGATTGGTTAAAAAGTTTGACAAAGAAATATAATATGAATAACAAAATTTTAAACTAATTTCACATAAATTTGTAGTTCTGTTCACTTGTGTTGTTCGGTTTAAAAACTACAATAAATTGTTATAAAATAAATTACGACTTAAACTGTATACATAAATATATGGGGCGAGTGCTTAAAATGTATTTTAAAGTAGTTCATTAGTTAGTTTATCTTGCTCTGCTTCTCTTTTGTTTTAGTTTTCCTTTGAGTTTAGTTTAGGTGGTCCAGTTACCGCAGTATCCGGGTTTAGTTTTATTATTAAATATTGTTGTTCTTTATTTTTATTTTTTTGCGTTCCTCTATTTGCGCTCCATGGGCTTGACTTCGAGGAGCTGGGGATAGTTCTCCACAATGTTCAATAGGATCGTATCGATATAATGCTTTAGACGCACATTCTCATCTTCCTTTTCCTGGAAGGCCTGTTGCAGCTGTAAGTTGATTGGAAACCGATCAATTAGATACACTTTTAACGGCGAAGAGCATCCCAACACAAAGACAGGCATGAATGACACCTTTTATATTTACACTTTTATATACAACATGAATGTTATGAGGTTTGATGATCTTGAAAATGTTGTTGTTAAGCACCCAATGAAACCAACAGAAAAGATTTCAAATTTTCGCAAGAGTTAAATGCCGAAAACAAATAATTATAATCAAAAATAAACGTGAACCACAACCATATAACAGTGGCTGTCAAACTGCACACAGCTCATGCACAGCGGCTCCAAAACCGTGTTTTTGTGTAAAATTTTTGCCTTTGGTTTTGTGCTTTATTTTTTGTTGTTTTTGTTTTTATCTTGGTGAATGAGCATTACCTGACTTAAGGATGCTAATGTGGCTGAATCCACAGAATCCTGTAATACAATAAATACAATATAAATATATATATATATATGATGATAAGAACAAACGACGCAATGCGAAACGGGCACAAGGTGTGTATGCAGCGGGACTCTCAAACTGTGCGACTAAAAAAAGCATGACTGTGCGTGGGCGGCGTGTTTGACAAATGTTTTGTGGGCGTGGATCGCGACATAAGAATAGCAATAGAGCAAAGCACGGGGAATAGTGTACGTATTTGAGCATGACATTACAAACCTGAGCTTGTGACATCTCCTCCAGCTCCTGGGCCAGATTGTTGAGGGTGCCGTTCAACAGATGACGACCCTGCTCCACGCCGTTGGTCAGCATGGTGGCCTGATTCGTCAGCATGGTTGCCTGCAGCTCCTCGTTCTGCTCCTCGAGGGCTGAAAGAAAAACGAACATGTAGAGTAAAGCGTAATGGCAAAGGCTGTCCAGGACTGCTTACAGCGATTCTTTTGGCGCATCTCCTCGAGCTCCTGATGCAGCTCCTCCAGTCTTATGCTCTCCGGCGATGTGGTAGGCATGGCACGTGCCCCATTCTCCTCGCGGGCGCGCTGCAGTTCGCGACTCAGCTCGAGCATTAGCTCCTCGGTGGACTTTTTCTCCTGCTCGTGCCGGCGCACCGTCTGCAATTGTTCATCGTATTCCTGCTGCAGGGCGGCAATCTGATCGCGTGCCAGCTCTAGCTGCTCCTCGGTGCGATGCAAATCGTTGGCCTGTTTATCGCACAAGACACGCAACCGTTGCGCCTCATCGCGCAGTGCATTCGCCTCGATTTCGGTGGCTTTGATCTTCATCTGGCAATTCTCATTCTGCAGCGAGGCTTCGCGTTCCACACGGGCCAAAATTTCGCGATGACGCTTCTGCTCCTCGGCCAAACGCTCCTCGGCGCGCAGTTCCGACTAACGAATATACATAAAATTAACAATTTCGCTGTGACTGTCAAACTGTTACTGCTACTCACCTCTCTGTACTGCTCCTCGAGCATGTGATAGCGCGCCTGGAGCACCGCATATTCAGTCTTGGTGCGCGTCGTGCGATCCTCGGCTATGTTCTGCGTATCGGACAGATCGTCTACCTTGCGCTGCAGCAGCTCCAGCTGAAAAAGGAACAAAAGATTGCGAATTGTAAGTTGAATTGTTTATTTATTGCTGGAGTTTCGAATTGATAAAAAGAGTTCCATTGATGCACTACTAACACAATCGCTTTTCATGTGCCGCAAATCGTGGAGCAGCTCATTCACCAACTGCACATCAGCCATGTGATTTTTCAAATACATTTGCATATATATGATATATACATGATCTGGGTCTCTATATGTCTCTATATGCCTGCCTGTATGCTGTTGCACTCCGCTCATCAAAAATTCAACAAATTTTTGTTAGCTTTGCGCGTCGGGCGTCGTCTTTGCACATTTGCTTGCCCCAACCGACTGCAAACTCAGCCGGAGGCTGTTTTATTTGTTTTTTGTTCGACAGCGCCGAAGAAGAAGGCGGCAAACGACGCACACTGTAGGCTGGCAACACTTAATTACACTGCGCTACAAAATCACAAAACTAAATATAAAACAAGGGTCTGCAAAGTGCAAGCCTCAGATATGCTTACTTAATTAAAAACTGTTTTATTACTTAAATAATTAGACTGAACAGAAATTGCATTCATAAGATTTATAGATATATTAGATTTTAATTGTGTGTTGCACAGTGTTATTAGGCATGCCTAGCCCATATAAATTTCATAAATATTAAGTATACGCCCAAGTGTTTTCCAATTGTGAAACAGGCCCCCCAACAACAACATGTTGGCGTTGCATTCATTAACTATTTTTGGTCGTTATGTGAAACCAAATTGTTGACTGCAGCGATTTAAGTTTGCTGAAACTGCTGTTCAGTGTAATTATCAATGCATGTATATATACACTTCTATATATGCGCATGTATTTATATGCGCCATGCACATAAGAAATCACTCGGCATTTGTGTGCTCAGCTGCTGTTCTCTGCCGATAAGAAATGTTTAAGGCGGATGCGCATTTGTGTTGCAAGTGGAATACAGGGTAACTGATAGCCCATACAGATGCTGACTGTTGCAGTTTCCGTTGCATTCTAATCGAACAGTGTTGTAAATGTAAATAGGAAGCCCTTAAGCAAGGCTTGTCGGAATTGAAAAATGAATAAAAAGAAAGCCAGCTATTTAGATTTGATAAGTTGTAGAAGGAGACTTAATATTTATTAAAAATCAAGTCAAACTAAGCAAATCAAAAGAAATGTCTAGTGTTGAGAAACATTTCTACTCTGAAGACTATCGAAAGTAGAAAAATTAGATTAAATATAAACAGAATTCTGCGCACATCACATTATATTTGTTTATGCTCACAACGCTTTCTGCTTACAAAAAGTCAAGTGAAAAGTTCAATTGAATAAAATGCGACACAAAAATTGTGAGTGACTTGGGCTGTGCAGCCGCTGTCAAACTGTAGGCAAAGGGTTCAATTAAGCTTAATTAACTGAAATTTGCGACATTCGAGGGGAGAGCAGCGTCAAAATTGGCAAACACAAAAGGAAAAACAAATGAGCAACAGCAAAGCACAAAACAATTTGACGTCAACGCAAATACTCAGAGCTGAATAGAGCCTATATTATATATTTATATATATTATCGAACAGAATGAACAAACAACGCGACGCGAAGTACGTCAACAACTGAAAAGATCTAGGAATGAGGCCCCCGAAAATGACATGTAAACTATCTATCTGACTGAGAGACAGCTAGAGAGCGGGAGCGAGAGAGAGAGAGAGAGAGAGAGAGGGGTTCGCTGAGTCAAAGTCTTTAGTGCCATATGAAGGGGGCTCTATTAGGGCCTCGGTTACTTAAATATGTGTACAATGAACCATGCTAAAAATTATAGTACAAACATAAAGAGGCACAAAACTAGAATCAAATTGAAATTCTACAGAAAAGAAAGGGGCAGGGGTAACAAAAACAAAAACCGTTGGCCAAAATAAACAAAAAGTCAAGCCATAAAAAAATACACTACACATAAAAAGAAAATAAAAAAAAAATCCAAGCAGACACATTAAGTAACAAGTGCCGTTGTTAAACAGGAAAAGCAGAGTATATGTGCGAGAGCGAGAGAGGGAGAGCAAGAGGGAAGCAGAGGGGAAGTACAGGTAGCAATTTCTATATGCTACACGTTTTCTTGTCACTTTTGTTGCAGCCCATCAAAAAATGTAAGCCAAGTTAGCGCCCGAGGGTCAATGTGGTCTGCATGAAACACCCTGTGAACATTTTGTTATATTTCAACACTGGCAGCAGAGGAAACTGTGAACTGGAAAGTTTTCACAATGTGACAGGTGACATAATGGGGGGAAATGGGTACTCAATAATGGAAAAGTGTGCGCAGCAAAAGAAATACAACTGGCAAGGGTTAGAAAAATGCATTAGGCAGACGGCTGAACAAGTTGATGAAATTTGTCGAACAAAATCAAAGGGATTGCTATAAGAAATTGAGTGACATATAGAACAGACTTAACACATGATTCTAAAAGCCTTTCAATAATATTGATGCTCAAACTTTTCTTTTCAATCTAGGGCTAATTATTTGAGCCAGTCAAGTTTCTTTTCAAAACAAATTCAGTTCGCTTTACGAAACTCTCATTAAACATATATTAATCCAATTAATAGTTCTCAAAGATATTGATTTATAGAAACTTCCCTCACTTAACGCCCATTATCCGCACATTGGCAGCTCATAAACTTCAATTGAACAACTTTACAGCACAGCCCATCAAAGTCAGCATTAGCTTTGACCTCAAAAGATTTCGAACAACAAACAAAGAAGCACTTGCAACACTTTTCCGCTGGCAACACAATGATCCCATTTGTTACATTTATCAAACGAGAGTCCGTTCCGATTACCATATATCAGAGGCATACGTTGGAGCATATAGTAAACAAGTGGACGCTGGAAGAAGCATCCGTTTGCTGTCTTATCGGAGCGCCAGTGACCTCCAGGGCCTGTTGCTTGTTGCTTGTGAAGACTTGTGAGAGCACACGAGAGTTTTGCTCTTGATTAAAAACATGCTCGCATTCACAGCTGTATGCCCAATTAGCAGACCCCAATAGGCTTCAATGGGAGTGAATGAGTGCTGTAGTCATGCATAAAACTGGAAAATTGCATCATGCAATTAGTTGCATGTCGAATTCTCAGCTAGCCCCATGTGTGCCCCATGGTGCCGCAGACTGGGAAAAGTACATGTTGCAGCTAACTACATGCATATATCTTAATATCATTTTTTTTTTCATTTGCCCCTCAACTGTTGCAATCGCATAAGCTCTCTCGCACTGCGGCAAATTAATCTGTTTTAGAAACTTAAGAGCCCAAAAGACGCTCTGTTCCCATTTCTCACTTCTCGCTTACTTTCGTTGACACATTTTCACACACTAATCATCCGTTTGGTTAAGTTTCGGTTCATTCATTTATTTTAGGTTCATTCATCAAAGTTGTTTTTATTTTTAGGGAATTTCTAATTTGTCTTACATTTTTCTATTTTTTTCTTTTCTCAGTAGCTGATCTCATTTGACGCATTTCTCGGACTCTACGAAAGATAATTTATGTGTTTTCTGTTTATTTTCGGCAGATGTTTGCAATTTACACAAAAATATTCTATAAAAACAAGAAAAACACGATGTTTGTTTAAATTTTTTTTTTTCTAAGGTAAATATGTCAAGGAAATGCGTAAACATTTTGAAGAAAACATTACAGATAATTGAGCACTAGGCAAATGTTTTTCAGCTTGAAAATGGAAATGAAATAATTTGGGAATAATGTGGATTATATTTGTTACTTTGATCAACACTGGCATCAATCAGATTACGCTTTGCCAACACTCGTATATTTGTTTGTATACGCCCTTACAACACTACTTCATTTGTTTATATATACCTTTCACACACTACTGCATATGTATATGCCTTTCCAACACTGGTGCTTGTTTTTTCTTCAAATTTTGCCTTTTCAACACTTACATCGTTTGTTTCCAGCATTTTAGTTCAAGTCGTAGCAACAATTTAAATAAACTTCACATAAATCTGTTGACTTTTTACACATATATTTTCCCATATATATTTTAGTAGTTCTCACGAAACAATCCAGAGGTCGACTAAACTATCTGACTTGACAGCGGCGCTTATTTATACGTAAATTGACATTATTGACATGCTATACTAGAGACTCAGTGCAAACTGAAACCAAGGGGGGGGTCGACAATAACTACTATATACCCTTTTGGCATTGAAATTACGTTTGGGTTCCACGCAACCCTAAACATTTGGAATAGCCACCCAATTAAATTACCCGCAATGATGGAGAGGGGGAACGTTTTAATGCAATTGCATCGGACATATTACATGTAATATTAAAGAAGCTATTCTGGTCAGATTGTGAAGGGTTTTGCTTACTTGCTCGTTGAAATTATCGCAAATCTCCGCGCTGAGGGCGCCGTTCATTTTGTTGCTGTTTGTGCCGTTTGCGGCTCCCCCGTTGCCGTTCTCCTCAAAATCACAGAGCAATTTGTTCTTGAAGTTCTTAAGGTTTTCCAATTTGAAACCGTTTGTATTCGTATTGTTTGTCTTATTATTGAATTTACTTGTCAACGTTTCCAAATTGTATATTTTATTATTATTATTATTGTTGTTGCTGTTATTATTATTCGACTCCAAACTATTGTTGTTCGTTTCTAACTTGTTTTCGATGAACACTAGCGAATTGGGCTCCGAATCGGATGGCACAATATTCTCAAAATCAGCCGGATTGAGACTGAGAAACGTCTCCTGATCGAACAGTATGGGCTGCTTGCCAAAGCCAGTATATTGCCCAACCACGCCCACACCCAAACTATAGGCGTTGCACAGAGGATTCTGTGTGGAGCTCGTGTTGAAATTCAAATTCAAATCCTCCAGACTGTCCGCTGACGAAAGCTCTTGACTAGCGTTCCTCTCACTGCCAAATTTCACACAATTATTGTTGTTGTTGTTGTTCAGTGCACCGCTTTTGTGATTTATTGCTGTTGTTGCTGCTGCATTCGCTGTGGGTCCGACAAATTCGAATTGACCCGCCCACATATCATAGGCTAAGTCAATGCTATCGGGCTGGCTGGCAGGTTGACTACTCATGATTTTGTTGTTCGAGTTTTATTTAGACGATTTTTGTTTTGTTTTCTTTGATTTTAAGGTGTTTTTTCTTTTGGCTTAGGTATTTTTTAGTCAGGGGCGTGGCACTGGGCGTTGGGTATTCACACTTGCTGTATGGGTTGATGTTTGTTGATGTTTGTTGATTTTTGTTGTTGCAGTCAGTATTTGTTTTACTTCAATTTTTAAGGCACATTTTTGGGATATTTAGACTTTAGGTTCTTGTGTTTTTAAACATTTTTTATAACTTGTTGGGCACTTTTCTGTGCATTGTTGCACACTATAGAAACGCATTAAATTTAAATTAAATTAAGAACTATTCGATCGACTTTAAGCATATGCTCGTCTTGATTTGCTTTTGTTAAATTAATTTTATTTTTAAGTTATATGGAATCACGTCATAAATAATAAAATGGTTGTTTTGAATTTTCAACTATTATAGTTTATTTAATTAATTTACATAAACAATATAGTTTAATTATTTTTGCTATATTTTTTTTTATTGCCAAGCTCTTCGTATGTTTATTGGTTGAATAAAAGTTTGCCTTTGGGCAGTTTTTCTCAGAATATGATATAAATTTTCTTCTTAGAGCAGCGCAGCTCCAAAGAAACACAAACAACAATTATGTTGAAGTCAACTCTCACAGCAATTAGACTGCGCTGACCAACTTGTGTAAAATTAAAGAAATCCACGCATTGTAAAACATTATAGACCAATGCGCGCACGCATATTTCCCTAATGAGTTCCTTCAACCCGAAAGAACACGAATCAGCAGCAGGTGCGAACAACAATTGCCAGAGGTATTATGAATTTGTATTAGAGAGCGCGGCAATTTAAACGATATTAGAGAACCGAAGAGGAGACCTTCTCAAGATGAAAATCAAGCTCGAGGCCAAACAAATTGAAAGGTAAAACTGTTCCGGATTCCACCAACCAGCAATGGCTTCGGGGGGCCACACAGCAGCAGTAAAAGCCGCAGCAGTTGCAGTAACTGCGCACAATATGAATGCAAAATAATCAAACAAAGGAAAACTGGAGAATGGCATTCAAGAATATTTTCCCTGCCTTAATGTTTTTGCCAGTATTTCAGGCAGGAAATGCGCGCGCGCGTTCATAAGATCCAAGTTCTTAGGGGTACCCGACCCCACTCCCCGCCCCCTGCTCGTAGCACTATTCTTCTGGTCACGCCTCTTTCTACACGACTGAGTTTGGTCTGCGCTCGGCTTGTAGAGTCTTCTTCTGTGTTTAATTTCCAGCCAGAATTGATGAACTTCGTGCAGATAAAGAAACACAGAAGACTTTGCAGCGAGTCTTCGCAGAGCGTCTTTTGCGCTGTTTAGTGGAGCATGCAATGCTGCAATTCTTGCCCCAGCGCCAGCCTTATTGCATTGCATAATATTGCGATGCCCTCTGGGGCATCTTTTCGGTTTTTGAGCGCTTTGCAGCTGTTTTTCCAACCAAATCCAACTTGTGCTCATAAATGTTCTTGATGATTCAATTCAAGAAATGAGAAAATGTGTCATGTTATGCAAAAGTCTTAAATTTTTCTTAAATTGTTTATAATAAATTGTGCATGATTCACACAAGAGCGAAAAATGAAGAGCGCGACGCAGCCTTTCGGCTAGTGGAATCGCACAATTGTGCATGTCAAATGATTTTAAGTGGCGGCCATAATAAATTCTCATTTATTTTCTGCGCAATTATTCAGAACATTTCGGGATGTGCGTCCAAACACAGAATTGTGTTAAGAATAGCAAAAATTTTAAGAATTTCTTCTTTAATGCAATTAAAACAATGCACAACAGATTTACATTTATTCAATGCCCATCCAAAAGTACTATAAAGGAAAACTCTTTTCAATGCAATTTGCCGCTCTAATTTTCTAACTTAAGTGAATTGTGCACCTTTTAAAGCTATTGCAATTAACTTAATGCTCAATCAAACCCTATTTAAACCTCATTTTAATTTTATACACTTGTGGAAGGCACAATGAATTTTCTCATGAAATGTTTCACACATAGAATTAGACATATCCGACACAAAGAGGTATATATATTCTAGATCAGCATCAATAGCATGTGTCTGTTTCTATGCTAATCTCTCAATCTTAAAGCTATCATCTTGAAACTTTGCCTGATTCCGTTTTTTTTGTTGCAGCCAGTAGATATAATTGATCCGGCCAGATCGGACCATTTTATCATATAGTTAACAGGAACAATCGGTCGAAAAGCAGGTTCTTGTATGGAAAACTTTTTGGTTTATCAAGATATCTTCCTCAAACTCAACATTTATCACTATGCTCCCTACATATATGCAACATCTCATCAAAATCTGCAGCTCCGCATTATCGCGCTTTATTATTCTTACATATCTGCAAAAGGGAAATCTCTAATAGGGTATTAAAACTTCAGCGAGCCGAATATATCCTTACTTTCCCGATATTATAAGTATTATATATACATTTGATTATCTATTTGTGAATTTTGTACAGCCCATAAAGTTAGGTATATCTGTTGAACAAAATGTCAACTGCTTTGCCAATAACTTGATCACATATTTCATTGATTTATGCACTTGTTTCTGCTAAATTGCAGCAACAAAGACAACAACAACAACTTTCACCAGTCACAACAACAATTTAAGCTCTGTCGCCAAGTTTTTCACTGTGTTTTTTTTTTTAGTTTTTAATTTTAAGCATTTCTCCAGAAAAGCGCAGTAAATTTACTGCAAGCTAAAAGCGTAAGAAAAAACAAGATTTGGTGTTTGTTTTTCATCAGCTGCAGCCGCTTTAATAGCCGGCCATTTATAAACATGGCATAATCGATAAATCGGTGGCGTATGCGTGATATTCAATGTGAGATGAACTGCAGACATTTTTATGATGCTCTCATGCATATTGATTTGTGGCTGGCCCTCGACGGGCTGCAGGTGCAGATGTTGTTGTTGCTGCAGTTGTTGTTGTTGTTGTTGCAGTTGCAGTTGCGGGCGCTCACGCTCTGAGACAATGAAAATTAAGTTAATGACGCACCTACAGAACGTGCAACGTGCATGTCGTGAAAATGAAAATGATATTAACCAAAAACTATAATCATAATGATGTGACTTTGAGTTTTACAGCTTTCTTAAGGTTGCTGCCCACACACAAAAAAAAAGCACAAAAGAAATTTGGCTGGGTGTATTTTATTGAATTAAACTCATTTATGGACATTCCAATGTCTGCCACACTCATTTATAAGCATTTACATGTAGAAATCCTAAGCAGCACAGAAATCCTAAGCTTACAGAAAAAAATGACATTAAAATGGCAGCAAATTTCTTTTATATATTTAATATTAATATTGAAAAAAACTCGAACAATAACTGAAATAATTCTAGAGCTAATCAAGCTTTTGATGAGTCTTTGAAAAACATGAGAAAAACTTGAACGGAAATAATAGATAAATTAAATAATTAAAATAAGTCTTTATATGCGAAAAACTGCAACGAAAACTAACGAAAACAAATTTTGACAGCTCAATAAATGTGATCAAGTTGTTACATATAAGTAACTAGAACAACTTTGTTAAAAGTTAAACAAAAATGTTTACATATGTTGTCATCCCGCCCGCCGCTGACATAATTTAGCCCAATTGAAAGGCTGACTAAGGCTTACTTGGCCAAGCTCAATTTGAAGGCATTGTCATAATCCATAGCTGTTCTACTTTCGAATCGACCAACTCTACCAGGAAAGCAATTTAGCCGCATTAAATCCTAACAAGCTCATCCATTTACACATTCGCAGAACAACCACATGGATTTGCGCCAGTTTTGAAACTCATTGTCTGATGGTAGAGAACATTTTTGCCATGTCCATTAGACAAAAGCCTTTGCGACGCCCACACGCTGAGCCCTTTCTAGAACTTGGCCAACATGCACACACACACACACACACACAACGTTGTTAACCTCGTTTCCCATTGTGGAGGGCTGTCAAGGAGACAGACAACAGCTGTTTGCTGTCACACTGATCTCTCACCTTGCCTTTTGCATAATTTCTCAATGCAGTTGCAGTAAGAAAAAGAGCAATAGAAGAAGAAGAGCACACTCTAAACTGTGCAGTAATCATAGAAGCAACAGCAACTGCTAAAGTCTACTTCAAGTTCCCTCTTTCATCTTCATTATGTAAACAACAAGCTTGTAGAGCCAGCAGAGCGTAAAATGATTTTTGTGCCAGACTTAAAAGACAATTAGAATCTCGACTGCAACTTCTGACAACAGCTTGGTTGTACGCTTTTTCTTCGAGTGTATTGAAAGCAGTTTGCCTTATTATTTTGCATGTCCAGGGCTTGTCGCTGTTTATCTTTGGCTTTGTTCTATTCGTGCCTTGGCATATCCCCAAGTAGTTTCTAATTACGCCAAATTCAATGCTCTGCTGCTCGCCAACCATGGAAAAAAAACACATTGCTTAGCCTATTAAGCTAGAAAATAAATGCAAGAAAAAATAAACACCGCAGCACAGCGAACATATAGAAATCGTAGCATTTGGCCAGCTTATCAGTAGTCGACTTTATAGGTAACGCGCCCCTGGCACAGCTAAGGTCAATTCTCTACGGTGTCAAGGGGAGCAACGCAGCGGAAAATGATTGATAATGGTATAGAATTTTTCGGTTTGGTGCTTAGGGTGGACACTTAAAACACCATCTAAAGGTTTTATATGGAGCTGGTAGTGGGAAAATGTATGAAAATTTAATATGATGGATTACTGCTTGTTTTACATATACATTTTAAAGCAACAGCTGGCTTAGAATTATTCCAAAAGGCTTCTCAAAGCTTTAAGCAAATTAGTTTAATTGAACTAAAAGATACGATACCTACAAACCAGTTCAAAAGAACCTATTTAGTTAAAAAGGCACAATAAACAGGTCAAATAAATTAATAACCAAGAGCAACTATTATTAGATCAGAAAGATAAAATACTGTTCGCCTAACATATATAATTTAAGGCAATAGCTCGCTTAGAAATCAACTCAATTGAACTTAAAGAAATGACACTAGCAAACCAGTTCAAATGAACTTATAGAGTTCAAAAAAACAGTTTTATTAAAGGCATAACAAAGAATAACTATTACTAGACCAACAAGTGATTAGATTTGGTCATGTTTTCCATAAGGCTTCTCAAAGGTTTAAGCAAATCAGCTCAATTGAACCAAAAGAAACGAGACTTGCAAACTAGTTCAAATGAACTTATAAAGCACAAAAGCTGAAAAAATAGTTCAACTTAAGTTGAACTAAGAACAATTATTACTAGTTTTCCATTACAACAAATATAATTAACTGCAAGAGCCTTAACAAAACCATCTCTTAATTAACTCCACGTCTAAACTTTCTTTCGTTTGAATTTGTAAGATTATTTAAACAATTTGCTCATCATCTTTTAGTCAAACAGTAGCAGAAAATGTAGAAAAATATATCATTAGCTTTTCAAAATGATTTTCACAGCACATTTACATACAATTGCCTGCATACCAACTGGCCTCTCGGGCAGGGGCGGCAGGGGTGGGGACGGGGACGGGGGTGAGCTGGGACTACATAAATAAGCAGCAAGCAGCTCATTAAATGCAAATTTTCTTTACAACAACACAGTATACAAAGCATATTTTGTGTGTGTTGAACAAAAGAGCTTCAAACATTTTTAAATCAATTTCATTTTTCTTTGCTTATGAGATTTTTGGCGTTTTTATTATTATGGAATTTTAATTTGCATGTCAAGTGGACGCTAAGAAAAAAAAACGGACGTTGAATTGCAAGAAACTTGCAATTTTCCAATCACAAAGATTAAAGGACCTGACTTTGGTCAATTTGACTTTTTAATTTTGTGGAAACTTTGCACCCTCGTTAAAAGTAAGAATTCAAATGAAATTCGACGCATTTCAGCACTTGATCGTCTAATCATTAATATCCACAAATTTGATAAATATGTATTTAAAAGATTTACGTTTTTTTTTTCTGTATTTTTTGCGAATTCGTTATCGCATAAATAAACAAACCCGACAAACAAAAAAAATGCGACTACAACACGCGAAACGCGAAAGGCGAACTGAACGCAAAATTCACGGGCATTTTTTCAAAGTGAACTATAGCAAAAACAAACCGAGAGAGCCACAGATAAAGACACTGCGAGGGGTGAGAGGGAGAGAGGGTAAGAGAGTGAGAGCATAACAGAGGCAAATAGACGGGAGAGAGTCTCTCTCTCAACCCCCGGCGATACGGGCAGATCTTAAAAATAGGCAAACAAATAATGAACAAACCCACAAAGAAATCAACGACGCGATCTGCGTGTGCTCGGGCTTCTGTCCTCTGGGGAGCTGAAAACTGAGAACTGGCCTTTCAATCAACAATTTGCCATATGTGTCCCATCAAATGGGGGCCTCGGTACTTATGGAATTGCTCTCCACATATGGCACAATACTCAATGAGGGTGGTTCCAGAAGAGATGGCATAGACATTACTTCTTCACGAAATTAAAATCGAAATTTTGAATCAATTTTCTGCTTTTAATCTCGAGTTTACATTTTTGAGCAATTTTCCAAACTTTCTTGTATATTTTTTGATTTGGCAAAAAGCCCTTAAATATTTGATCTATATAGCTACACGAAATGGTTTTCATTAATTGTTGTAACCACCCGCTTTCGCGGCAACGACAACGCATAATTATGAGGAATTTCTGGGTGAACCCCCTAACAAAAGCGCAAGTGAATAAGCGCGGACACGAACCATGTGAGTAGCCAGCAGCTGGGAGCGGGACACGCATGCGGGTGTCCAACAATTGTCAGGCGTCATCATCAGAAGATGGGAGGCGTCCCCGCCTCCCAGTCCGCCTCTTTCTCCTGCAGCTGTGTGCGTGTCATTGTGTTGATGTCATCAACGGAAGATTGAGATTTTCCTCATGTTTGACTTAAGTTGTGAATGGGCAGAGAACCTCTCTTTATTGGCTTCTGGTTCCGGTTTTGTGTCTGGCGTTCATGTGCCGTTATAATACTGTGTGCTAATTGAGAACCTAATGAAAATTTCTAACAAAATTAACGGTCGGAAAAATGTTTGAGCAGACAGACGGGCACGGGCAAGCCAGAGAAAAACAAAAATAAAATAAACTATTTTTAATGAACTTGAAATTGTGCGTGATTTATGTGAAGGTTTTTCATTTATTTTAGAGGTTTTTTTATAGCAGTAAATACCCAAAAATAAAAAGGGAGGGAAAAAAGGGCCCAAGCTTCCGTTTTATACTTTTTATAAGTTAATCTTAAAGAAAGTAACGCTTTCAAGTTTTTGCTTTAAATAAATGTTTTCAAGAACAATATTTTTTATATACATATACATATATATATCATCATATATTTTCAAAAATTATTATATTATTTATCAAATTTATATATATTATTTTTATTTTAACATTATTTGTTTATTAGGGAAATTTTTCCTTGACTTTAAGATATATATTTCCAAAAATTATTATTATATTGTTGATCAAATTTGTATATAGTTTTTGTTTATTTTAACAGTTTATTGTCTTGCAATATTTGTTAAGAGAAGTGTATTCTTTTGTTATTTGAAAAACATCTGTTCAATTATTTAGTTTAAACAGCTTTGGCAGACCTTTATTCAACCACAAACTTCAATTAGAGATCAATCAAGCAATATTCCAGCGTTATTTTCGATTAGCCGGCTGAATGGCCATAGACCGGGCAGATCGAGCGCGACACGTAAGGTTTTTCACAACAGACGCCGCAATTAGCGTCGTTTTGTGGCCGTCTCAAATTTCATATTGAATAATCGCTTAATGAGCCACACACATAAACGTTAAGACGAGGCACCTGACACAGGTAACTGATAAAGGCTCGTTATGAATCGGCAATCGATAAAAGGTTGCCAACTTTTTTTTTGTTTATTTTTTATTTGATTTTTTCTTTAATTGTAGCAAATTGAATTTACACTTGGCACATTTTCTTTTAGACCGCATATTTATTGCAAATTATTTAGCACCCACCACAAAGAGGAAAACCCGAAACAATCGCAACTGCAGAGTTGTACGCTGTTGCAGCTGCTGTTGGCGTATTTTGCATTTTCCAACCAAAAACAAAACACAACAACACAAAATGTTAAACACGCGAGCGAACGCTCAGCCGAACGCACACTAAGAGTGGGAGAGAGCAAGAGAGCGGAACTCCCCAGCCAACGCGAGGCGGCCGTTTTTCCGTTGTTATCGCTTCGTTCGTTGTGCACGCGGCAAGAGTTAAATGCAATCTGAGCGCACACAGTCTACGGACGTACGCTGCGAGCGGGCGAAGCACAACATAGAAGACATTGGCGTCGACGCTGGCAGCGACGTTGGCGCTCATAGCTAGCTAAGTTAACTTGTTGGGTGCCGCTGACGTCGCTGCCGCGGTCGCTGTCGCAGTCGCCGTTCGCTGCTGTACAGCCGAAAATGCGACTAATGCGAGTTAGCAAGAGATATTTGTAGTGAGAAAGCAAGGCATATTAAAAGCAAAAGCAATACGCAAAGGAAGAGGCGTGAAAGGGTGCATACAAATGCATTGAACTGAGCTCAAATGAACCAATTGAACTGAGTCAGAGTAAGAGAGAGAGAGAGAGCTGATAAAAAGAACCGAACCAGTCAAAGATCTTCTATTTAGAACCAGTGTTACAAATGAACCAAAATAGTTGTAATTCACTTTTTATATAAACTCACATGGCTCTATCTAGACACTTCTTGAGAAACCGGTTACTAAGCACCCTCGCGTGCTTTAACTTCTTGGTTGCCTAGCGCTACTTAGTTAGTATTGGTACTTATCGAAGCAGTCTTCGAGCGTAGTCACAGCAACCAAGCCAAACAAACTAAAATTGTGCACAAATGCAGCCGCAAAAACCAAAATAATTGAAACGCAAATAAATGACCGCATGCAACTGCAATTGCGGCTGCGGCTGCGACTACTTCTTATTGGCTATTTATATTCAAGTTTAAAGGGTCTCTGGGTTCGTTCGGGCGGCATTATTTGTTATTTGCTATTTATTAAATAAAGTACACAATCAATGCAAATAACGCGATTCGTGCTTGAAAGACTGCCGCAACACGCACACAATAAAAGCATAAAAACAAAGATTATCAAGTTTCATAATATTGCTAAAGAAAATCTTCTTTGTAGCATGGCTTTGCAGCGCAGCAATATAGATATAGGCATAGGTATATGGGTATGTGTGTCAGTGTGTGCATAAATATGCAGATAACCAAATGATAAAACTTGTTAAAAGAGTTGTTCAGCTGGTTCTTCGTATTTACAGATAAGTGTACGCGAACAAGTTCGCAAAAACAGTGTTGGATTACGGAGCCAGTTCATTTGCTTACAGCAGATGCATTCAATGCATTTCCAGCTCGAATTGTAATCATCAAAAATTGGAAATTTGAGTCAAATTCAATCAATTTAATTTTTTCAATATTGTCATCGTTTTTATACGGCACGTTCTTCTAATGCGAAAAAGAGAAATACCGGTAAGCCTCTCCTGCACCTGGAATCACTTCCTTTAATTGTAAATGTTAAAAGTTCAACGTGATTTCATTTGCACGTAGGCCGTAATTGTTTACTCTGCCTGCCTGCCTGCCTGCTAGTAACTGTCTCATTATTTATAATGAATAATTGTACAACAACAACAACAACAATGTCCAAAGTTGGCGATTTTTGGTGCGGCAAGTGCGCGAGCTAGTTGACTATTAATGTAACACCCGTTTGCCTTGTACAACCTTGCAAAAAAAAATAAAAGAAAAAAGTGGAAAAGAGAAAAAGAGGCTTTAAAGCAACTACAAGCACAAGTCACAGTCCAAATATGACGTAATAGACGCCAGACCACACGGACGGACAAACCTAACAAAAGGCGTAGGATTTATCAGTTGTTGTTGTTGTTATTGTTGCTCTTTGCCAATGAGTCGAGCGCCACGCCCTCGCTTAAGAGACGCCTCGTGTGGGAAATCAACTACAAAAAAAAGCAACAACTACTACGTAACGTGAACATTTTATGGCCAATTCTTTTTCGCGATGTTTTAGCCCTGATAGGCAAAAACAGTTCTTTGTGCCCGTCGCAGGTGTTGGACTCATTGTCTGGCACTTACCCCAGCAGAAGCAAAGTTAGATAATAAACTTGGGTGATATATGTACTCTTAAGTATGTGTAGGTTGTTTTCGGTGTAGTTGCTTACCTGGAAGTTAAAGAGACGATATTGTTAAGTTAGTATTTAATAATAGCATAAACTAATGCCAAAAATATTTAAGAAAAGTTGGTGAGGAATAAAAGTTTTAATATATATATATAAAAGTTTAAGATTAGCTTTATAGCTTACTAAGTAAACTCGCACAACTTGAGTTTAAGCTCCAAACAGCTAAGTAAGGATATCTTCGGCATGCTAGAGGTGTTATACCCTTGTAGACCTTTGTCTTACTGTTTTGTAGATATGTGAGAATAGTGAAGCTCGTAAATGCTGAGTTTGATAAAAATATGTTGGGAAACAGAATATTTTTCCATACCTAAACTCATTTTTCGACTAATTCTTCCTATAGTGCTATATAATGAGGATATACTAGGATACTGATAAAAGACGCCTCATATATAATCAAGTTATACGGCTTTGGTCAAGATATCTTGTTGAACAAGAGCTTAAAATTCGACGAACGTTTCTATGGCAGCTATATAAATACTGATCCGATCTTATTAAGAGTTGAGTTATACGTTCGCATAAATAACTGTCCTATGCAAAGTATCTAGACGATGTCCTTAAAACTATGATACTAGTTTGCGTAGAAACTGACAGTCGGACGGACGGACAGACTGACTTGGCTATATCAGGCTATTGACTCGGACTTAGAATAAATATATAATTTATGGGGATGTCAAAGATGTGATAAAAACTAGAGCAAGAATAAGTATTGAGTATTGAGATCAATCTATAGAATTCTCTATAAATATGACTATATGTATGTACTTTATATAAAGCCAGAAAGTTCTTTAAACAATTATTAAGCTCAAACAAATGTCATAAGCTGCGTCGTAGTACGTTGTTAGACCTTAGATCTATTATAAGATTTCTTCGAATTTTCTATTTCCTATGCCTACAATTCCTGCCCTACAAACATTTTCCGCATTTTACTTAAACGTTTCTTGAACGTTGCCAATGTGCTTTATTCTATTCTTTGTTTAAATTTTTAATCGCATTTCAGGCGCATTTGCATTAATTATAATAATTGCAACATTTTGTGCTTCAATTCGTTTAGTTCCACGTCGCGTGGGTTTTGTAAGTGTCTCAGTGTTTTCTGGGTCAGCGTCACATTTGGGTTAAAAATCGATTTTCGTTTATGATTTTACTGTTTTATTTTCTGGCTGTCTCACATTTGTCTTTCTCACTTTTGCCCTATGCTCTTTATGTTGTGCCGGCTTTAAATGCGGACTATGGACTTTCGGCCCGTGTGTGTGTGAGTGTGTGAGTGTGTGAGTGTGGGCAGGTGCCAGAAAATTGTTTAATCGATATGATGGAAGACCAAGCCATTTGTTGTTGTCCTATTAAAGAAAACAACACATTCAGTGGATGGAACGATCCATCGATAATTTATGTTATAAGGAATTAAACGAGGTGCCAGAATATACCTAACATTTGGAGTTATATTAATAATTCACGAAGTAAATAAAAATTTAGATTAATTATTTAATTAAAACAAAAATGTTAGAATAAGGATATCTTTGCCACGCCGAAGATTCAATACTCTTATAAACATTTTCCTATTGTAGATGGTGTGAGAAATGCGAAGCTCGTAAATGATGAAATTGATTAAAATATCGTTGAATAAGAAACCACTTTTCGACCGATCTTTTCTATTATACATATATACGAGGAGCATAGCCATAACAGATGCTGACATTGGTCAAGATATTTTGATAAACCAATTTTTCATAAATAAGCCTACTTTTGGACCGATCCTTCCTATGGTCCGATTCTGCCGGATCCATCATGCACCATGCAACAAAAGGCGGACCTATGTAAACTTTCAAGACGACAGCTCAAGACATATAGACGGACTATATTAAGTCGGTTGTTCATGCTGATCTAGAACATATATACTTTATGGAATCGAACATGTCTTCTATGAGTTACGCATTTCATGACCAATAAATAATACCCTCTACAAGGTTTTTATACCCTCACTCACGATCAAGTCTCCGAGCTGCAGAATTTTTAAAGCAAGTCTACAAGGCAAAGTTTTAATCAATTTCAGAGCAGTTTTTTTCAAAGAAAGTCCAAAATAGTTATTAATTTGAATTTTCGATTGTTTCGTTTTTTGTACTCGCAATCAAAGCACCATAAATTGTTAAAAAGTCATTCAACATGAACAGAAGCTGTAAATTGAGAACTTTTTACACATTTTACCTTGGCACAGTGGCCAATGGCGACTCCGCTCAAAGGTTGGTCAAAGGTTACCATGGGAATGGACAACCGCTGTTGGCCCCATTCCATGTTTGCTCTTTTTTTTGGCTCTGCTCTGACGCCGCTTCTGGCTAATTGTCAATGCTCTGTTTGGCTCTCTGTCGCAGCAAAAGTGAAAAGCAAAAGAAAAGAACGCACCAGCAAGGTGTGCTAGACGGTTTAATTAGCTAAGGTCAGTTGGGTTTTGGGTTTTGGGGGAGGTTGGCTGTTGATCAAATGCGGAAGATGCTAAGCAAGTGATTTATATGGTTGCATAACCCCAACCCACCCCCCATAGCACACACACTTCTTGCTTGCCCCCTGAACTGAAGTGTGTCTCGAATAAGTATCTGAGAGTAAGATCTGCTCCCACATTACTTTCCAAGCAACGTCGTCGCTCGCGATACCAATCTATGTCACATTCATGTTGTGCATGTGTGTGTTGTGTGTGCGAGTGTGGGGACGCACTTATGCAATTATAACTGTAGGCATTCGAGTATGTAAAAAAAAAAAAGAAAAAACAATGGCATTTGCAATTTGTTCAATTGTCAGATTGTCTTTCGGCATTTAAGTGGAGTATCTCTCTTGCAACCCATGACGACATGCCTTTTGCTTCAAGTTGCCACAGCCACAACAGAATTGTGGATACTGCACTTGGCGTCTCGCAGCGCAGGCTGTTCAATATTTCAGATTTCCTAATGCCTTACACTTAATATGTCGAATGGTCGATTTGGTAAACAAACGAATTGAATTAAATAGATGCAAGGCACACAAGCAACAAAGTGTAGACTCTTCGTGGGCAACATTTAAACACATTCTTAATTTGTTTACAATTATCCGTAATACTTTAGAATTTGTTACGCAGGCTGACCTACAGCAGCCCATTGACCCTTTGGTCTGAATCCCAATGTAATGTGCTGTATCGTACCTTTTGCCCAAGCAACCGAGGGGAAATACATAAACGAACACAAACTAAGTCTTAAGACTTAGTCTATATACTTGCTAAATAGTTAAGAATAGATGACTTTATACGAGGAAGAAAGGAGTCCGAGAAGACAAGGGGCAAATAACAAGAGTTGTTTCTGCACATTGAATATGTCTGTCTTGGTGAATGGAATATTGTGGCGACTAAATACATTAGGGTTACTCAAGAAAAGGTTGTACAAAAGATATAAAACTATAGAGACTTCATTAAATATACTAAGATATTTTCCACCACCAAACAAATAAAAAGATTAAAGCAGGAACTGAGGAAAATGTTATCGCTGCCCTTCTCTTTTCTTCTACCTTTGAAGCTTGTGGTTTGTGTCTTTGCTATGCGCTGTAAGCCAAATGCAGCACAGCCATTGCATGCAAATACTTGAACAATTTCCATATCTCTAGAGTCTAGATCTAGTTCTACCAACTTTCCTAAGACTTTGCTCCCATTTCTTGTTTGCAATTAAATTTCAACTATGTTTTCTCTCATTTCTTTGTTGCTGTCAATTGTTGTTTCGTATTTCCTTATCAATTAATACCTTTGGCCCCGCTTATTCTTTTCGCTCATTTTGTATGCAACGCCAAGTTTCACACAACAATCAACGACGCCCCTCAATGGTGTCCCTTTTGCATTGCAAATGATTTGGCAACAACAACCCCCCCCCCCCCCCCCACGCTCCTCCAACCTTCTGCCGCGCTACTAGGCACTAGAGCTCCTGTTTCAGCGCTTGCTGCGGCATTTCCGTTTCCCGTTTGGCCTGTTGCATAAAAGAACAATCAAAGGTCTTCAAATGATTCGTACGTGATATTTTTGCGCAACATTCTTTTTCTTTGTTGTCTTGTTTTTGCCATTTTCACTCTTTTCTTTTTTTTTTTTTTTTTTTTTTTGTTTTTTCCTGCCTTTGGAATTTTCTTATTTTTTTCATGTGCGCACACCTTTCATTTTCCATTCACCGCATCTCTTGTGTCGTTTGCAGTTGTTGTCTTTACTCCTTTTTATTTGCTTTTTTTAAATTTACAAATAATTACGCGCAGCAGCAGCAGCATCAACCAGCGACAGGTAAAACAATTTACAATTTATAATTTACACCTGTCGCTTGACCGACTCAACAATTTGCATAACAACAGAATTTTTTTGTCGCTTTGTTGTCCCATTCAATACTTTTACAGAGTGCCTGCCGGATATCTTGGGTCTGAGGTGAATTTTTGAAAATTCAATTTATACCGCAACCAAAAAAGTTACCTCTTATTTCAGTAAATTGTACAAATATATTTGCGTCTTTTTCCAATTTAAAATTTGAAATTCGTGTTGTCAACAAATCTTATTGACTTTTAACATAACCCACCCTTCTTGCTACTATGCTGTTATGTTAAGTCCTTGAGGAAAATTCATATGTTACGCTTCTATTTACAGAGTCCCTTCATAACAGCAGTGACTCGCTTACATTGCCTTTGTTCTGTTAAGCATCTGTTAAATTATTGAATGTTAAGTCATTAAGGTACGTACAATGCTGATATGATAAGCCAGTGATGTTAAGTTAACAGTTTTAGTTCATTTTTAGAAGAGCCAGATTTTAACAGCAGTGACTCTACAGTTTCTGTGTTCTGTAGATAGCCGTCAATGTTTGCATTTTAAGTAATCAATATTAACAGTTCTGTTAACAGAATGTGATAAGTATGTGAGGAAAATTTACGTTTTTCTATTAGCAAGAGTTTTTAACAGCAGTGCAACTTTTACAGTTTCAGTGTTCTGTTAAAGAGCTGTTAAAGGTGTGTACAGACGATATCTTTAACTTTTCTTCAACGTTTTTTACAGCTGTAATGCCTAACTGTTGCTCTGTTATGATAACCAATTTTTACAAACTGTTATTATAATTTAAATGTAATGTTGCGATTGCCCTTATAAAAAAAAACATCAGTTATAGCTAATAATACACTTCTAAATTAGAACACGTTACGTGAATAAAAATAAAAGTGTTTTTGCTATAATTTAGTCATAGTAAACTATTTCCTGAAAATCTCGATAGAAAGATTAGCTCCAATCATGAAAGCAATCACGATTAAGGATCAAGCAAAGCTGCCAGCATCAAAGACGGCTCTGTAATTGCTGAAGATGATGGTTCGATAAATAAGGTAAATTGAACATTTAATGATAAAGCAATTAATATACAAGATGTTTACAGCCGGAAGAGGAAAAACACTGGCAGCGTGTTGCGGCTTAGTGAAAAGGTTTGTAAGTTGACCCTATTGGCACCAAGACCGCAACTGCCCAGCGGTTTAGTGAATTGGCAATTGGGGTTTGCACGAAATTTCTCAAAATGGCCAACTGCGATTCGAGTCGATTTCAATGACCTTGAGGCGCCGTTACACTCACTCTGTATCTTTCCAAGCCGGGGAGGCCAAATCAGTGGCTGCACTTTATATAACAACAGGCAGCAGGCAGCCGGTAGCAGGCGAGGGGGCAGGTGGCATGTGGCATGCGGGCCGAACATAACCCACACCAAATAGAGTTTCACCTGCCTGGCTGGCATCTAGCTACGGCTTAATAGAGACCCAGAGACAAAGACAAAGACGAGGGAAAACACGTTTGCGAATTTTGTAGCGGGCGAATTCAAGTGAAAAGTCGCGCGCAGTCGCTTTTCCAGCCACGTTCAAATGTTAAAGAAAATGACGCGACGTTGACTGAATTGGAATTTGGCGTTAATGAATGGCCAAATTAGCTGGCCCCCAAATCTGTCGAACTGTTTTGTCACTGTCTCTGGTCAAGTGCAGATTTTGTTTCTCATCGAGGGTTTCGTTATCGAAAACGATCGACACTCGATTTCAAAGACACATTGAAAGCCACCCCCTCCCCCCCGTTCACATGCTCGTCTCGCCAGAGTATCTCAAAGATTGTGCCACATCATGCGAGAGCTGGAGATTTGTGACGTTGCACATTTTGAAAATGTTGAGTTTTAACATTTTTGTAACGGCTTGTGCAAGAAAAATTGCAAAAGCATTAAGTAGGGAATCGAAAGAGAGCGAGAGACAATTACAGAAGAGGTTTGAGAAACGAAACACTCTTCTCAATTTTAGAGCCCAGAATCATAGAAGTCTAAATATTTATTTCAAAATACTTTTAGCTTGTAATACAGCACAATAAAAATTCGTTTTTATTTCTATCCCAAAATCTGTTCTTATGTTTTTAAAACTGTTTCATTAAATTTTCTTTGGACTTACCCTATAATCGTAATCATGACGATTCTCCAGGCTTATGTCGCTGTACATATCCTCAGTTGTATCACAGTTGGAGCTACGGCCAGAGGAGTTGAAACTCGATGATCTGTAGAGTTGGCTGAAAACGAGTGGAAAATATATATATAAAGAATTGAATTTACAAATTTTAAGTAAATGCAAAAACAATAGTTTTAAGAGTTTTTAACTTTTATTAAACATTGACTGAGAACTACATTGTATTTTTTCTTTTTATTTTTATCTTGAAGACTTGCAGACTTTGCTACTGTGAATTGTTGCATGCGGTTTGTGTCTGTACTAAACCAGTATGTCTAGTGTCTGCGCTTAACTGGAGCTTTTCAAGCAATACGCGTAGTGCAGACACAAGCCACAGCACAATGAAATCAAAACTGTAAAATGCAATGCGTACCAAACTGTATTTAGCCAAGACACTGACAAATGTATCTCGCGCTCTGGCTGCCAAACTGTGACTGTAATGCCGTGACTGTCAAACCAATTCAAATTGAATCAAAATGCAAACAAGCTCATATAGGACAAATACGTAAGTTGTATTCGATATATACTTGGATTTCAAGACATTATCTTTAATACTAAAGCGTTAATTATTCAGACATACAGCAAAGTAAAACTTACCTAGCTAAGGCATTGGAACTTATCTGCCTGCGGCCGGAACTGCAAACAAATTGAGAATAAATTTTGAAATTTAGTAAAATATTAATATTAATATAGTATATTTAACATTAAAAACTATTCTACCATATACCGTAGCACCAGTGAGCTCTATAATAGTTAAGCTGATTTCTTAAATTCTTTATTAACAAATGCATCTGAATGCCCTTCAAGTTGAAGCCCCAGCAACGAAATTTCTATAAATTGATTGCGCATTGAAGAGAATGCAAATAAACCAGCTGACATTGAAGAAAACCCAAACAAAAGCAACTAACGTGGCCACCGAAAATAAGGAAAAAGAAAACCAAACACGTGATAAAACAGAAAATCAACAAAAACAACAACAGAAAAGGCAAAAGAAAAAAAGTAGGAAAACAATGGCCACCCACGCAAACGTTTGATGCCTACAGACACACAAAGTCAAAGTGAAACAGGTAAAAAACAAGACAACAACAAAAAACAATGGAAAGAAAATGCAGCCAAGAAAATGTAACAAAATCAACAACAACAATAACAAACACAAAGACAAAATAATTGCGACGAAAATAACTAAAATTAAGTTGTAAAAGTGAAAAAAAGCATGAAAATTGTGTAAAGTGCATTTAGAGAAAACGTGTCAAATGGGCAAATATTTTTTTATTTTGCATTTGCAGGTGTGCGGAAAATTCGTCAGCCATAAAACTGGGGTGCAGCAAAATTGCGAGGAATGTAAAACTTAAATATATAAATGGAGAAATTACAAAACTACGATATATTTAATATCAAACTAAATGTATGCAAACTTGAATAAATATATAAATAATTTGAGTAAGAAGATAAAGATAGGAAAACTAAAGGTGCTCTAGCCGGTAGTGCGCGACTGGAGCATACCCTGAACCTTATTGCTGGTTTCATTTAGAATTCAGAATTTCATATATCGATACTCCATTCAACCTTGCCAACGCCTCATAACTCACAACCATACCAAGAATTCAGTTTCGCTTTGCGCTTAATACCTACTGTATTTCTTAATCGATTTTGATGCAATGTTCATAAGATCTACTCTTATTGTGCTATAGAATTTTCGTCTGTTCTCAACAAGAAGGAGGCATTAATATTGTGGTTTGAATTGTTGGTGTAGTTCCAATTCTAGCTCTTTAAGCCTAACAGATTTGCTCAAAAACAGGATATCAATATAAGTTTGAGGTCACAAAAAAAAACTAATTCTAAATTTCAAGTCTCTCCTATGAAAGAAAGGTCATACATCGACGTGGATGGACATGGCTAGATTGACTCGGCTATTGAAAATCAAGAATATATATATACCTTATGGCGTCGGAGATGCTTTCATTTGCGTGTTACATACTTGTGCACAAAACCATTATACCCTTTCTACCCATTTTCAATGGGTTGAGAGCATACAAAATGGAAATTGCTTGGAAAATTTGCGTTTTCACGCTTATATATTGTATATAGCTAATATATGTAAAGCTAGCCCAAAAACTGTTTTTACAGGCTAGTAAAAATACAAATTTTTCAGCCCAATTGAACTAATGCAAATTACAGGCCAATTGTTAACCAAAACTTAAAAACATTAATAGTCAAACACATAGAAGATAAAAATACGAGAAAAATTAAAAATATATCTGTTTTTATAGGGCTCGGTCTCAGCCTCGGTTGCTCGCACGTAGCCCCTCCCTCCCTACCTCGCTCTACCCCTCACTGAACTCATTAACCCACTTTGCAGTTGCGCTAGAAATAAAAACTGTCTCATCTGGTTTATGAGTTATTTTAAACAAGACTATAAAACGTGAGCAAAAAAAGGAGAGAGCAAAAAATGTTAGCAAAATCCCGGCTACAAAAACCAAACGCAAATTGGCAAGTTTTTCCAAGCCATATAAATAAAACATTGATTCAGTTATATAAATATGCATATGCAAAAGTTGCGTGCCTATAAAAAAATATCAAAAATTTAAATATGTTGGCAACATTTGTCTGTGTGCCAAATTGGCAACGCGCAAATTGTCCAAAGTGTTGGATAGACCAACAATTTTAATGTGCTGCAAAGTTGCGCAATTTGTGCGGCAATTTTTTCAGTCCAAGCAACGCAAAAACTTGAGAAAAAAAACGAATTTTACTCTTGCGGGAAACTAGATGCTCTTTCAAAATAAAATTCATATGTAGCTCATTTAAAATCAATGCAATTCATTTAATAATGTTGCACTTTATAAGATGAAGTACTGAAAAATTGAATTAAATGAATTTTATCTTTTATTTCTATGTGTGACAACTTGATGGAGGATTCAATCAAGCCTCGTTTGGTACGATAGAGTATACGCACAACTGCGAGTCATCATAAAAAGTACAAAAATAAATATGTCGGGAGTGTAAAGTCGAATCAAATATACCCTATACCCATGTCGAAATTGCCTTGAAACACATTCGCACGTACAAAGATTATTTTAATGTACACGAAAATAAATATACTCTCCTATAGCTCAAATTTGCTGTAGGGCGATATTGATATGGATTAAAGAATAAGAGGCATATGGAGAGAGAGGAAGAGAAGGGTATTTAAAGAAACGGAGAGAATGAGAGGGAGATGAAGAGAGAAAGAGGGATATTATAGGAAAGGAAAAGAGATACAGAGTTGAGAGAGAGAGAGAGAAGAGAGATAGAGAGCGATATGAAGAAAGAGAAAGGGAGCTAATGAGAGGGATATGAAGAGAGAGAGAGAGAGAGAGAGAGAGAGAGAGAGAGAGAGAAAGAGCAACACGTGGATGACGTAGGAGGAACGAGCGATACAAGGACATTGACTCATCTCGATCAGTACCATGAATATGCAATATCTTGATAATACCCTGTTTCGTAATCCAGACAAGTACAGGGTATGCAAAAACAATTTGAGCTGTGCGGTTGGCGTTGAGTTTTGGTGCAGTGGTTGGCATTTGATTTTATTGATGCAAATTGAAATTGGCATTAAATCGCAGCAGAAATTGATGCCAAATGTGGCAGCAGGTGTTAATCAAAATGTTTGCGACATTAGAATGTTGCATGAGGCCACAAGGCGACGGCCCGACATGCAGGCACAAATCAATGTGCAACACATGCAACAGCTGCAACAAATTGAGTATTCAAATGTCTGCAATAAGACACAAACACATTTAAAACTGGTCAAATTATTCAAACAAATTCGTTGCTGAACAACTTTTTAAACGCGTTGCTCGCATTAAATTCAGAAAAAAAAATGTTTTTTAAACAAATAGCGAAAAAACAACGAATCACAGCACTGACAGTTAATTATAAAAACGATCAAGGTAATGGCATGTAATCAACAATAAAATAAAAGTAAAAAAAAAAAACAAAACTGAAGTGTGTTTTAACATAATATGATTAAGGTCGCGTTTGGTGTTTTACTATTATTATTATTATGCTTTTAACTATATTTTTGCTTGATACGAAATCAATTGAAATGTGCGCTAATATAATATTTGGACAGCTGCAGAGCGAAGTAGGTAACCTTGGCTCCACAGTATTTGGGTTCCGTTTAACTAACATAAAACAATTTCGGAACACGCTGAAAATGTCGGTAATTGAAACGACAGTCGGAAATTGTGGCTGCGGTTTTTCATGTTTCGCAATTAATAAACAAATTTCGCCTGGTTGAGGTACCTTAAATTCTTTTGCCGTTTTTGAGCTTTTCATTTATGACAACGTTTGCAAAAATAGGCAAGTTTTGCTGCACAAAAGTCGAAGCTAAGAAACTCTAACAATGAAATCTCTTTCTCTCTATCTTTCGCTTTTGATTAAATATTTCATTTGGTAATTTTTATTGCACAAAAGCCAAAGCTACCCTACCAGAAACTCCTGAATTCTTCCGCTCTCTTAAGCTTTCTATGTCCCTTTTCACAAAATATAAAAGTTGCAACAACTACACAAAAGCCGAACTTAAGATACTCTCACAAGGCTTCTTACTGCTCTTCCTCTCTTCTTGCCTTGCGTTTTTGTTAAAAAAGAAAAGTTAGCGAAAGTTCGAAATTCGTACTGCTCAAAAGCCGAAGTTAAGCTACCCTTACAACAGCTCAGATTCGCTAAAAGTCACCTGAAATCTCCCGCTCCCTTAATGTTTACCTTTTGCTTTTAATATTTATCTGAATCTTTTGCATTTGACGTTTGCTTAATTAGGCAAATTTGACTGCACAGAACACGCAACTTAGATATCCTAGAAAAACTGTAAAAAGACCCTGTTTTTCTAAGCAGCCCTTCCCTTCAACCCTGCCCCTGCCTGATACGCTTGTCGCGATTTCGACCGATCTTGAATGGAAAATGCGGCTTAAAGGTCAAATGAACGAAACTTTATTTATTGTGATATAGGATTTTAATACTAACAAGAGTAACAAGACTAAACCTTGTGCGAAATTGGGTGAACAAGTAATATTTTAAACTTTTAGCACAAAGCTTGTCACGAGCAAGGCCGGGCAATACCCGCCTAGTATACATAAAATCTATCTTCATAACCGTAAAACATTTATTTACTTTGCAAACTCTTCAACAAACTTATACATAAAGTATTCAAATAGCGAAAAGAAACGACAAGCTGTCAAATTGTCACATGCGCATGGAGGACCAGACTCTGGCCCAGGCCCAGGGCGCACACCTGTTGATTGAGCGAATCCCTGCCGCACACCTAGCCCCCCTCCCTCTACGCTCATTACGTAAAAAATTCTATTAGACGCACGCTCATTGCGGACTCCACTTGCCCGCACTCCTCCCGCCCCGGCTATTATTGCGTTCCGCTTGGTTTGCAGTCGAGAATTTTGTTTGGCTTGCAAAGGGTATAAAATATGAAAGGCAGAGGTCGCACATGCAACGGGCACATTTCAATTCTATAGAAGTTCACACAAATATATATATATATATTTTAGTTTTTTTGCTAAATGACATAACTGGAACGTGTTTATGCATATTTGCAGAGTGTTCTATTTAAAAGAGAGTTCATTGCACCGATTCTGGCAATAGATACGAATAGAAACATCAGCAGAGC